AGCAAGGTTTTAACATCCATAATAAAAGACGGAAAATTAGAGGCTCGATGAGAAGAGTGTGTAGCTGAAAATGCCTCAAACAATGAAGGGTTGTGCATGATCGGATACGATGGTATTTGTCGTAGCTTGACAACACTGACCAATCACGGGACGAAATTAGACAATAGACGTGCCATTATGTGACTCCTTAGAATGATGACAGAAAGAGCTATGGATTCTAAGAAATGCAACGATCAAGACAGCTTGACCTCCAAATTAATCATAATGCTGTCATGCAATTCTGTATTTAGGTCAAATGATGGAAAGGTGTTATAAACAATCGCTGCTTAATGTTGCGTGGACGGCTAACGGCGTCATCATGAAAAATGGGTCCGCAGTGCGTGCATGTGTGGCTTACATGATTTCCAAGAGCAGTGTCAAGTTCACGTAAGAACATGGCTTGTCAAAAATAAACTGTGTTCGGTGTGATAATGCAGTTATTTTCTTTAAAACAATGCATAATAAAATAATTATGAGATTCGGTTTTTGTGATATCCGAAATAATCAAGGTCTCGGTTAGTGTTATCAGCCGAAGCCGAAGGCTGAGGCTCATAACAGTTTCCTCGACCTTGATTATTCCGGATATCACAAACACCTCATCCAACATTTGTTTATAATATTTTAATTACATATATAAAGTGCCATATTTGTAGAGCATGGCATAATTCCTGAATGGTATACTAGTATTATGGTTAACAAGCCAATGCAAAATCAAATTGTATTATGCAAAGATCCAGTTTTAAATAAAACTGATTGTATATATGGCTTAACAAATTTAAATAGGACAGATCCATACATCACATTAATGTATGGTCAACAATGTTAATTAAAAAAAGTAGCAAAGAAATCATTGTCTAAATCTCCAAATATAATAAGCTTACTTTTCGAACAATGTGATTATGATTTCTAAGTACAGTAAACAAATGCAAATCAACTCTAATATGGTAATTTATTTCACTTTTGAATATCCAATTTCGGGACAAAGAGAAAAGGTCACAGTTCATATTGTTGTTTTCAAATTCAAGCGGTACTGTCTTTGAATTTGTGGTCACCGATGGAGACATTTTAAACTTCTGACGGTTCAAAGCAATGATTATTGGCTTTTAAAAGTACAACAGCTCCTGTAGAACCTGCACTGGACACATGCCAAGTCTGTCCTAGCTTTCGCGAGGAACTTTACTCCCGTTGTCTCGATTTGTCGACTTGCTTGAACACCCGAAAGTGAAACAACAATTGCAAACGGGTTATGTTATTTGTACTTAATTACGAAGCTAGATTTTTGACAGGTAAAAGAAATGATAACATGCAGAACTCAGGACCAAGCTCAAAATGAAAAACGACCTACCTTTAAAACTAAAAGCGGGGAAGACTGGAGACCACTCTTACAACCGAAATGGCTGACTCCAACTAGTGCGCCGTACGACACAAGACCACGTGACAGACGCTGACTCTCGTAGACAAATAAGTAAATAACTAAATAAATAAATAACTAAATAGGATCATGGCATAAAGTGGCTATACACTTCGTGTAAGCCACACAAAAACTGTTCAACAACTTTTCAAGTCAGATTGCGCGGCAAGATGTCTGAAATATTGTTTGGAAGTATAATAACTGACAATTATTTTCTGTTTCAGTGATGTTTATTTTTACTACAATGAAAGGGGCTTTTCTAGGAAGATCGAAGGGACCTCTGCTCGCAGGGTCAGCCTTAAAGGAGCTCAGTCTCGGTATTTTGAGTTATTTTGGCCACATACAAAATTACCTTTAAATGGTAGCAAACCTGAAAAGAACAGTTAAATAAGATAGAAAAACACCAAAGAGATCATGATAAACCATAAAGGAACAAGGATGGCTAAGGATGGAGAAGATTGACACGGATTACAAACGGCAAATTTGAACTGATTGAGGCTAAACTTTTCAACATGCGCAAACCGTGACTGAGCTCCTTTAACAAATAATTTGGTTCAATAAACAGGAAATTACGACTAAGTTATTAACGACAGGGATGAGTGACGTTAACTATTCAAAATATCAATTGCATGATATTTGATTGGAGACAAGTATTCGATGATGCAAAATGAATGATGGCTGGCTAAATATGTAGATGTACTTGTATTAAACGGTTTTATAAATCCTTCTATAAGTAGTTGCATAACAATCTCATTTATGTATTAATGATCCAATATAAATATAGATGTGGCCCGCCTAGATTGTCCCAGGCTACCTGCGGGTTCGCGCTGTTGTTATTGTCAAGCTTTTTTAACTTAATGTGTATATATTTCTGTAAAATTGTAAATATGCGAGTCATAATAAAAGTTGTTGTTGTTATTGTTTTTGTTGTTGTTGCTGGTAATTCGGGAACGGTGAGCAGAAATGACAGACGTAATTGTCTACCATAACATTTTGGAATTGTGGGAAGCCTTTGTTTAAAGCTTGCTATTGGTCAATTATTGCCATGGAAATTAAATTTCTGTGATAAAATCAAGTAAAAGATGGATAACAAACGAGTTCTTTGATGTGAAGTATATATGAAATAATTCATATTTGAACTGCGGTAATAGATAAAAGTGAAGAATGATCATCGCAGTAAATTTTCCAATTTATGCAGTTGGAAAGAAGAAGCCTGAAAAAAAT